AACATGCTAGTTGCAGGAACAAAACGACTGTCAGTCTCGTCTCGTTGACTCGGAAATAACTGTTATAGAAGTTAATGTCTAAGTCTGATGTGGGACTTAGATTGATAATCCTCCCCTCATAAAAGTTCTTGAAAAAATCAGCATAAGTGAGGAATTTGATCAAATGGAGAATTCAAAACTAAGAAAAAGGAAATAAACATGTGTTAAGCATATAAATTGGTTGAAATAGTTGAATAAATTATACAATAAACCAAGGTTGCAAGTATTTATCAAACCACACCATGAGACACACATCATGACAACACACATGACACAACCCATATAGTACATATCAAACCACACCATGAGACACTCATCAAGACAATACACATGACACAACCCATATTATATGGTCAAGAGCCGGCAAAATAGAAGACCGCCAAGATCGTGGCTACATGTCCCTGACTTGGAACATGTTACGGTTCTTGATGACGATGTCACACATGTGAATCGGAGAAAACTTGGAGAAATCAATAGGAAGTGAGATGAGATCAGGGTTGGATCTTTTGTGGAATTGAAGGAGAGTAGGATCATCCTCGTAACGTTCCCAGCCAAGTGTGGATAGATGTTGCTCGAGATCTGAGTACGACGTTATGACTTCCTTACTTGGAGTATGAACCAGAACCTTTGGTTTTGTTTCCTCAGCAGCTCCAGGATTCTCCTCTAGCCGAACGACGCCGTTCTTGAACACCCACACTCCCGACATCTCCGGATCTTGAGCTTTTACTTTTGGGATATAAGGTTAGAGAAGATGTGGTAATGTATTTTGTTTTTGTCAAGAACAAGGAGAGATGTGGTTATATAGAAAAAGCTAAGCTTAACCATGAGCATATGATACTATTCTAGTAATAGTTTAAATGTAACGTTTTACTCGAAATATTGATTTAAAAACAAAAAAGATTCGTTTTAATAACATAACCTTGTGCATATGATGGGGTTTATTCGAATATAATTAGCTGATATGGCTTTGATTAAATCAACACCATTGAAAGTGCAACAATTATTAAAATGGCGTAAGATAAACGCCATGTGACGTTAATCCGACCTTTAGAGCATCATCAATGGGAGGTGCTTAAAGAGTTTTTAAAATATAAAATTATTAAAATTTGAGTAAAAGGAAGAAAGAGAGTGTTTTTGTGGGGTGTATTGAAATATAAAATTTGAGTAAAGAGAGAAGATAGTGGGTGTGTTTAAATATAAAATTAATAAAAGTTGAGTAAAAAGAAGAGAGAGTTGCTTAAATAAGAACTTTTGGAGAGTGTTTTTAAAATGATGAGAGAGTGTT